GGTTCAAAGCGACGGCGGTTCATTATCAGCAGTGGCCGACCACCGCCTGATATGCATTAAATGCCCTGGGAGACTAAACCGACAGGACAGCTATCATGTGCGTCATGATCGAACCTGATGGAATCAACAAAATATAATCCGATCGAGCTGTTGAAAATCATATCGTTTCTCGTCGTATTTATTTCTGAGAAACGAGGGGACTATCTGTATACGGTCAAAATGGATTTGGCATGTCCGGTACGGTTCGAAGGGTGATGTATCGGAGTAAGATCCCGAAGGGGGGAGGAGGGGGGCACGAACTAATCTAGAGCATAAGAAGGCCGGTCCGTGTTGAGATCGATATCATAACCAAACTCGAACAAGAATCGAACCATGGCGCAGGTAGATCTATCGTGCAGATAATCCAAAAACCAACCTACATCGACCAGGAATCCGTTCGAAGTCTCGAACCGGGATCGAGCTCGAGTCAAGATCACAAGTTCGAGCCGAAATCAAGCTCGAACCAAAATCGAGGGTTCTAAGGAAGATCGGGCTCGCAAACAAAAATCGTTGTAATCCCACTAGAGGGAATCTTGGCAGAAATTATGAAAAAACTGATTTATCATGGGTTTTCCACTGAATGTTTATTTTATTATGATTGGAGCCAAACCCCTTCATTATAAAAGGACTTGTTTATCATTTTTGTAAGGTATCTATTGGAGGACTTACACTATCACAAATTGTATTATCCCCTCTACAAGCAAGAGTGATCTTTCTAGTTTCTTAGATTGATTCTATTTTTATTAAATCCTAAATTTCACTGTTCATAATTGATTGGCCTAGATTACGTTTTCTCCAATCTATATTCATACTTTTATTTATCTTAGTATTCTGTATTAAGTTGTACCACGTATCTTTGGAACTGCGCATAAATTCAACTCTATCCCTTTTTTCGGGTAAACAACATATTTCCTAATCAAATAGAGGAAGAACATGAATTTACAAACATAAGCAAAAACTTAGAAGTTTTTACCAGGAATTAAGAGGAAAAGAATGATTTAATTGGGATTCAAGGGCATTGATGGATCTGTAAAAAGAAAAGCAAACAATAAAAATATTACTCTACGCCTTGACTTTTGAAAAAAGATGTTTCCATTACTTAAAAAAATAGGGTACGAGGTACAATTATTATATAAATAGATCGGATAAATATTAAAATAAAATTATTTAATAAAAAAAGGGCAAGATAAAAAAAGGGTAATTACGTGCTTTGATCAAATCGATCGTTCCATAATGTGCCACCTTTTGTCATTATATAACCAAAATTTTAACGATACAATATAATAAAATTAAAGTAATGTCACACCTCTTTGTACCCCAAAAGATATGTGTTATATTAGGTGCTCACAAATAACAATCAAAATAAATATTATATTTTAAGTAACAATACGATATAATATAATAAGTAACAACCATCAAAACAAGTTATTAATGTTGGATCTTAACCACATTTTATTATATACTCCATTTCTCTCAACATAAAGGGTCTAACAAGTTATATATAATAATCACCAGGGATCAAATTCAAAATTTAACAAGCATTCAACCAATATTCGATTGAGGCCGAAGAAAAAAGTATTTGAAGTTGAAAATTGGAAAGAAAAAAAGTGTTTACAAGTTAAGTTATGTTTGGACATGAACTTAACACAAAAAATTTTATCAAAAATTGCATTTATTTCGCTTAAACAATTTTTTTTTTACTATTTCACTCACATTAACTTAAATTGCGATTACATTTCTCAATCATACTCAAACCTCTAGAATATAAAGTTAAATTATTAATTCACTAAAATTGTGTTAGTTTACTTGAACTTTGGGCCCGTGCACAACACGGGTCATCCCTTACTAGTTACTTAAAGAAAAATGACATAAAGATCATGCAGTCTTCCTTTATTAAGGTTTGGGACATTACCTTACAAACTGAATGATTGCATTGCAAATAAATTTGGTGATGTACGTTTCTAATATAAGTGATCCAAGATGTGATTAATTGTTTTTTTTTGGTGATATTCTTTAAGCAATTTATTGACGGTGATGTTAATGTGTCTTTTATATAATATATTTGAATGTTAAATTTAAATTTAGTATGTCTCTTCTGGAAATTGAAAGAAGAATACCATCAAATTTAACCCTTTGTGACATGTTCTTGTATCAATGTTTTATCCATGAGATATTTATTTAAAGTTCTTGATTTTATTTCTTCGTTTTTCTTACGTTTGTTTTTCCTTTGTGGGAAAAAAATGTGGGCCTTTTACGTGATTTTGAGGTAGAACTTTTCTCAGTATGAAAAATAATATTTCGGTACTTGGCAGAAGATCTGGAGTATAAATCTATTTAGGTAGGCTATACTTTAAGAAAATTAATACCGACTCATTCATTTGGCGTGCTGGTGCTAATTATCGTGGCTGCTAAAATACATAGTACTAGAAGTTGTTGATTCTGGTTAGTAATATGGTGGTTTATGGATTATGCCCAGTGAAAGATAAACTCCAATCATTCTGATGATTAAGGTGGAGACGATTATGGTTTTTATGGTTAACGTTTTGAATTTTTAGTTGCCTTAGTTATCTTCTTCTGTTGTGAAATGGAAATGAGAATGACGATGACCACAATAATGTGCCATAATTCTATGCAGGGTGAATGTCAAGTTAGCCATAACCGTTACGGTAACAATAATACAAGATTGTTCTTCCTAATTAATTACGTAATTCTTTTCATTTTCATTTGAATTTTATGATACCGTATTCATGGAGATAGAGTGATGAATATGAACTATGAAGCACCACACAATACCCACGGACAAGCATCTCCCATGTTTAAGCCTATAGAAACTCCAATATAATATCAGTATCTTATCTGGAATTTGTTAAATTCATTAGAGTTTTTGCATACACTGCCTTCGCATGGAGACTGAAACTTAAGATTTGAGTCCAAGTTCATGTGAATACTCTTATGTTGAATTTATAGGAAGAACTTTTAAATGAAATGAGCAGATAATTTTTGAGAATTATGTAATTTTACTTATATATATATATAATTTAACGATTTTGAGGTATTATTTTTAGAGAATATTTAGATAGTTAGGAAAGATGACCAGAAAGTTAGAGCAGAAAAACGAAAGTGCGGAAAGAAGAAAAAAACAAAAAAGGGAAAATAAAGGGAAAAGGAAAGAAAAAATAAAGACAAAAAAATTCCAAAAGATGTAGTTTAAAGCAAATATTTTCTTCAAATTACGTTCTTACTTTACCTTATTTTAAGAAAAATAAAAAATATTAGTTTACCTATATATTGATTACACAAAAGTACAAAGTTAGAGTTATATTTACAACTAAGTTTTACAATATGGATTAGGAATTTCAATCCAAAAATATATAAACTTTAATTTTAACATATTAATAATTGGGTATTATGAAAAATTATTTGTAAATTTAATAATGTTTTTTTCTACCGCGCGAAGCGCGGACAAATTCACTAGTATATATATAAAGTTGAGAAAATAGAAGATAAATTGGCACCTCTCTATGGCCAAGCATCCTATTTATCTATGTTCTGCCCTTTTTTGGTTTATTCCCCAATAACTCTAAATATTTTGATTTCTTCTCCTTCCTTAATTCCTATGATTAATGTCTATTAAGGTGTAATAGTGTATAATTACACTAAATATTACTCCTATTACGTTACTAGGCATTCCAATAGTCACTTTCTCAACCCCTACCTTAATTACTCTAATTACTCTCTTCTCTCACTCCAAATGTATTCTTTAATCTTTGTATATAGATATAAGCCAAACAAGACAAGGAACGTTGGCCATTCGTTTGATATTCTATTTGATCTTTTGGCTTTCCGGTTCTAACATTGTTTACCTCTTCTTAACATATTTTATTTTCTTGATTTAAAACTCTTTAACTTCCTCAATTTCTGTCACCTTATTGTTTGGCCTCTCATGTCACTTTATTAATAGTATTGTGAATTTTTTTTGTCTAGGTGAAGGTATTGTTTGAAGAAAATATTATATTTTGGATGATGAAAGTAGGCAGACGAGGCTTATCCATATTCTGGCGAAAAATCTTCATCTGAAAGGTAAACTATATAAGATAGATATTTTTAACATATTTTTTACTCCTTTGTGCAATATATATGTAGCTATTTTAATTTCTAATTTGACATGTGTTAGCTTGTAATTAATTTTTCTATGGAAACAGAAGCAAATCATGCCTAGAATAGTTGTCCAGTTGAATTTTTTTTTATTTTATCGAGATGATTTATTGAAACACTTTTATGACCTCTGAATTTTAGCTTGCTGGAAACTGTTTTCCATTATTAATTCATTATTATTTATTTTCTTAAGGTTAAGGATGGTCCAGAAAGATAATATACTATAAACTTGACTTGTGTTTTTGCTAAAAATCTTTGTTGCCATTGATATAGAAATGTGCGTTAATGAGAGACCGGTGTTTACTCTGATAATTGTAGTAACATTTTGCTTAGTACGGAGTTCTTATCTTCATTTGCCTTATGTTGGAGACTTGAGTCACCGTAGCGCATATTTGTGTGTTGTGGGTTTCTTTTTTTTAGTAGTACGTGAATATGTACTACTTCACTTGACTTTTTTTGTTTGTTTGTGAAATTGGAAGATGTCAATGCATATAACCAATAATAAGTTGGTATTTTTGCTTTCTTTAGTTTTCATTTTTTGTTTCTTTATTTTGAATATGAAAACATATATACCTATATTTAAAAGTGAAAATTTTCTTTAAAATTTATTTTATTTTAGAAAAGAATATGCAGTAAAATATTCTAATTTCTTTTTCTATATTATAGAAGAGCTTTAGGTTTGGACTTGTTAGCTTATTGGCAATAAATTTGCATCTAAGGGTATTTTAGACTTTTAACATAAAGCGGTACGTGTCTTCTAATCTGTCCGCCACGCTTGCCCAACTCCATCTAATCTCTCTTCTCGATTCTTCTTTGGTGCATAACATTCGAGCTCTTGTAGTTCTAAAGTTAAAATAAAATCCGAAATTCACCTTCTGCTATTGTTTCTCTTTGGTTTCTGTGATTAAAGTCTCCCAACTTGAGAAATTAGTCAATTTCATGGATGTTTTCTGTGTTTAACTTTGTCAATAGAGGAATGGCAGCGGTTCCTCCATTCCACCCAACATCCATGATATTCTTAATGAGGTAAGTCTATTAAAGTATTTTTAAATGTGAAATTTTCCTACATTAGATGATTCAGTGAATTATTTCATTTTCAAAATAAGACCTTTGAAATATTTTGGCAACTTTATAAATATAGAGATTGCAAGAAAGATTGTCTTAACACAGTTAAATAAAAGAAAAGTGCACTAGCAAGTGCATATAATTATAGCATTTGTGGGTTTTTTCTATATTTTAAGCATGGTTCTTTGACTTTCCCTTTTGCGTATTTTTTGCCACATAGTGGAGCACTTAAGATCGGAGCAAATATGTGGTTATTGTTATAAAATAAAAACAACTTAGTAAAACATGAACAAGACATGTTGTTATGAAATAAAAGTAATTTAGTAAGACATGAACAAGAAATGGAGATAGAGAGAAGGAAGAAATTTTCTTCTTCAATTGTGTGTATTTTCTTATCTATTACAAGGCCTTTATATAGGCATGAAAAGTGAAGAAAAATATGTCATTGAATATGTCATTAAGCATAGAAATATGTCATTGAATATGTCATTAAGCATTTGAGAAGATCATGGAGGAAGAGTAGACATCCACCATAATTTGATTTTTCTTATAACA